CCTTCGGGCGCCGCTGCCGGACTGCCCCCTCGTTGCAAGGAGCGCACGGCTCTCTCCGCCGCCGCTTACGGAAAGCCTCTCACCGCCACGGCTAGCGCCTCACCGCCGACCCTTATAGGTGTACGGCGAGTAGTTGCCGCCCTGTGTGGCCGCCTGGGCTGTCAGTCAGCCGGCAGCCATTCACGGGGCAGGAGGACGGAGCTGAGGGAGGCGGCACCACCGCCAAGAGGCGTCGAGGAACCTCGCCTCACCTGCTGCCGGCGGAGCGCGGCGCAGCACGGCGCGGGGCGGGGCGGGGCGGGCCGGGGCGGGGCTCCACAGGGAGCCGCCCGCCCGAGGGACGAAGGGTCGCGGGCCGGAGCTTCGCTGCGGGGCCGCGCGGGGAGTGTGGTAGCGACACCTGCCGGCCGGACGCGGAGCAGCCGTGTGGTGGCGGGCAGCGGGCGTTAGGCTGAGGCAGGCACGGGGCGGTAGGTAGAAGCGTCGGCGCTGCGGAGGTACGGGAGAAGCCTGTATTTAAACCCGTGTTTAAGTTTGCATTTGTTCTAATGCTAAGTTATTGCCCCGCCTGGTACTTTTGGATCGGATGTCCGTGAGGAGGCCGTCAGCAAAGGGTGGATTTTAGATGGTGTGCAATTAACTCCATTCTGGCTAGATCTAAAACTCTCTTTTGGAATTGCAGAGTGAGGAACAGAGGAGTAGTAAAGAGATCCTTCCCCCTCTCCCACACACACATGTGCATGCACATCCTATAAAGAGCAGATCTCAGCGCTGCAGAATGTGATCTAATTTTAAGCCCCTGACAAGATACATTTGCTGCTTTAAAACATGCTCTTATTTTAGAATTATTTGAAACTATTCTTAAAGGAATAGCCTAACAGCTAAGGGTTGAATAACTTTGCAGTCCAAATTTTTCTTGCACACAGTAGATATTCTCTGTTAAACATTAATTTACATGTAATGAACGTCCCCTCAGTGAACAGCCTATGAGGTTATTTAGAAACCAATACACTGAGCAGCTCAGATGCTGCTATTTACAGTTTAGCACAGCGCAGGGAATCTGTGCCTCAAAGTCTGCACTGAACAAATACCTGAGGATGCTTGTTTGCTGGGCTAAGTGAGAAAGGGGGCTTTTGGAAGGAATAGCTGTCAGGGCTGAGCTAAGCTAACGTGGAATCAGTTACTTGGTAAGGTGTCAGTGACAGTACAAATGAACAAGCGCTTTTTTCACAGTGGGCCTGTGCAGGTTCCCTTACTGCTACAGACAGTCCAGAGGGTCAGCTGCTGGCTGGGTGCACTTCCCTCCCAGATCCTGACCACTAACACCTGCCTGAATGGCACCATGTCTGGGGAATGGCCATCTTCCTGTACTCTCTCAAAAATCAAGCATTCTTCTAAAGTACTCACAGAGTAAATTCCTTTATTTCCTCATCTCATTGGAGTCCTCTCAAATACCCTTCTCCAGAAGTACTCACCTCTCCCGCACCCCCTTTTCCTTCACTGACAGCCCCCAAGAAGCTCTTGTTCCCAGCACAAACCTTTGCCAGGAGCCTGCAGCCGAGTGGGCCATGGCACAACTCCAGCTGCTGCAAGCTTCTCTCTATTCTGGGGCATCTGGAGTCAGAAGGCTCTGGCTTTCCTGTTCCACTGGTGTGTGCTGTGTTTGTGCTCTCTGCTATCAAGATATGAGGAGAGATGGGAGATTTACTGAAGAACTTCCTTGCTGAGGGTGCCAGGGCAACTGGTGCTGTTTCTGCATCAAGGTCAGAAGAGTTGTTTTTGTCCCCCAAGGTTTCTTCCTGCAGTCACAAACAGCTACGATATCCAGCTGAACCCACAACAAGATACAGATTTCCCGTAATTGCAAACATGCATCTACTTACAGCTCTGTAAAACCTGTGTTGTGGTACCCAAAGCCTGCCACTCACCAACCACATCCAGGGGACTGCAGTGGAACTGCTTCAGCCCATCCGCCAGCAGGGATACAGCAGGATCTGATTGCTGTTCTGCACATCTGAGTTGTTTGAACCATCATGGTTGTTCCAAGCACAAAGCCAGTACATGAAGGATCTCGACCGACTGCATTACCTATTGAGCCAGAATCTCCATGTAGATATTGCACGAGCTCAACCTCAGTCTAATTACAGTGCAGAAAAAAATAGCAGTGCAAAATGTTAGCAGTTTTTAACAGATTAGAGTAAATGTAACCTACTTTCTTCAAATACAGCCTACGTGCAAGATCTTGGTTTATCTGAACTATTAGAAGTGCTCATGCCAGAATTATTCCATTTTTGGAATAATGGAATTCTCTTGTATCTGTGAAATTTACTGAAAGACTCATTTATTAATTTCTGTCCTAAGCTAATCAGGTGATATACAGAGTAAAAGTACTAATTAAGTGCTGGAACTTTGAGAGTAATTTGTTGTATCTCTCTCAGACAGAAAAAAAATATTTATTAATATAATTAACTACAGTACTCAAAAATTTGAAATGTAAACTGAATCAAAGAAAGAAACCCATGTTTTCTCACTGAGCGAAAGGCTGCAGAGTAAGTTCCACAGCTGCATGTTCTCTTTGGCCTTTCATCTTGCCACTTATATTGGCCAGTAAATATCAGTACACCCCAAAACAGGAGGATCACATACTCTTCCTCCCGCATGATAGAAGGGAATGGCAGAGGGAGCTGGAGGTGGGGAATGCAGATTGACGAGGCAGAGATGGGAGTCCTGTTCATGTTGTAACACAGTGCAGAGTGCACTGGGGCTGGGAGTGATGCTAGGTTTATTGCTGCAGAGGGCAAGAGTGAGAGTGAATGGAAATCTCTTGGAGACCTGGCTTCATTAGCTCTCTTGTTTTCAACCACAAATGAATTAAAACCACTGCAGAAATATTTCAGAGGAAAAAAAAAAAAAAAAAAAAAAAGCCAAAATTCAGAATGTAAGAGCTGTTATTTAGAAACTGATGAAATAAGCAGCAAGCGCTTAGCTGTCAGTTAAGGTTCACCTGTAGTGAGAAGTTCAAACCCAGTGGTATTTTCTTAGAAATACTGGATTAGAAGAAGTCCAAAGAGGTTTCCCAGTGCAGCCCTCCCATGCTGGGGCTGGACAGTGCTGCAAGACCGTCTCTGCCAGGAGCTGACCTACCTTGTCTCAAAAACACTTGCAGCCAGGTAGCCTCCACAGACAGGGACCCTAACTACTTTGCCCCAGTCTTCATCACATTAGCACCAACTATGTAGACTAAATCTTTCTTTGGTTCTTCCCTTTCTTCTTCTCACCATTAGATGGTGTCTGTCTGCAGAAGACCACCTTGACTTACTCTTTTTTTCTTTCTGATAGACTAAATAATTCAATTTTCCTAATACTATGACTTCTAAAACTCTCATTGGTCCTGCTGTTCTCCTCTTGTCTCCATTTTGTTAGCCTGTTTCTCTAGGTGTCCCAGAGAAGGCCCCTTGTGCATCTCCTGCAGGCTACACAAAATTCTCTGTTAGTACATTGAGGTGTGCCTGCTCTTTCACCCTCACTGCAGTACTGACCAGTATATGAATTTGTAATCCAGTGTAATCCTCATAACCTTTCAAAACATTTTGCTTCCTTTCTATAAATTGTCTGTTCTCATTTGAGGATTTGATCTCTCCTTCCCCTGGGTAGTACTTGGCACTTATCTCTGTTGAATTTTATCTTACTGATTTTTCAAGATTATCTTCAGTTCCAAACTTTTTCTTCGGAATGCTTTTAACTATCTTATTGTTTCTTGTAGGTTTTTTGTTTTGTTTTGTTTGCTCATTTCATGAGCCTATATTTCACAGTTATTGTTCTTTTACAGTTGGTCTTGATGATCTTAGAGGTCTTTTCCAGGCTTAATAATTCCTGGTTCTACTATTATCCACTTTGTTCATGAACATGTTCATGATATGTTTAATAGATTTTAGCCAAGGTCAGATCCCTTCAGGAACCTGCTTGAAACATCCTCCCAGTTTGATAGTACACAACTGATTGCTTACATTTTGAATGACTTTAGGGGCAACTGCTTCTTCACTTCATGACTCACTTGCACAATATTTCCTTAGCTTACTTATGAGAGCCACATGCCAAGTTGCTGAGATAGATTTACTAGCCATGAGGCCAGTTATGAGTCCAAGAAGAAAATTTGGTTTGCATTGTATGGATTTTTCTTGATAATCCCTCATTAGCTAATTTCAATCAATTAATTATTTTTAGTCCGTGACTATAAAGTAGCTTAATATTTTTTTCCTGAACCCTTTTGAAAATCTTTGAGCTCCACTCTGTGTCATTCCTCTCTTTTCTTTCTCTTAAAATATGCAATACAGTGTTTTTCCCAACTTTGGAATCCTCTTCCCATGCCCTTGAAATGCAAAGTGATAGTGTATGCTTGAAGGGTCCCATCTTATCTCCAACAGATAGTGTTATTCTAGAGTAGAAGAAAATTGTCTGTCAGACAACAAATTCATGGCTTTGGCTCCTAATTGTTTGTGGAGGACTTGCGTCTGATATGCAGATGTATCTAATAGGCAGACACAGACTGCATTTTAAATAAACACTACTCCAAAACTTCCTAAGCTTGCTTGCATTCAGGAAAAGGTACGGGGGTGCCAAAGTTCAGGTTGCAAACACAAACTATTCTGCTTGCACTTTAAAGAGATTATTTTAATGTTGGGAAACACTGTTCACATAATGCCCAGGGCTGTTGGTACCT